GTTTCCTGCCATAGTCACCCCTGTGAACCTGAAAGCTTAAGTCTCTGCTACTAAGAAATGCCACACAAGTAATGATTCCTCTTAGTTGGGAAGCATATCTTGACTTCCTTAAGAATTGTGGATCTATCAGAAGGCATAATTGCATGTAACTTGGAGCAAACCCTTTTGAAGATTGAAAAGCTGATGTTGGAAATGAAATCAGCCTCTCACCTTCTACATGGAGAATGTCAGAGGAAATTGTTTCCTTTCCCCACTTCTAGCCTATTGCCAAGAAAATTTCTAGAACAGGTCCATCTGTTATCAAGTTTCATGCTTCATTTTAACTCTTGGAGCTGATGAATGCCTAAAGAGACTCCCTGGTCTATCTCTAGAAGCTGACTGGTGTCTTTACATAAACTGTTTTCCAGGAATAGAACCGACCATTTTTGTGCATTTTTCTGCTGCAACAGCTAGTTGCAGAAACTTTAGTTTCACCTGAGGTGGAGCCTTGCCCCAGGATTCTTATTGCATGATTTTCCTTCTCAATCTGTAGTCTTCAGGGGTGATGTTTTTTTTATCCTGCTATCTTTCCAGTCCCCAAATTATGACAGGAGAAAGATGAGGTGGTGTATTATGTTAGCTTCTTCGCCAACATGTTTTAGTTCTCCAAAACTCAAGGTATTCATGTTAATATTTCATAACTAATGATCTTTGGTCATGTGTAATCTCCCAGGAATATCAGCTTCTGGAGAATCTTTAAGAAATCTAGAAGGAGGCCCTCATTCTAATTGATGCTGCTTTCTATCCAGTAAAGGCAGCCAGTCTGTTTTGACCACACCCACATTTTTAAGAAACAAGTATTTCTTTACAAAAGGGGAGAGAGAAGAGACAGAGAGGGAGAGAGAGAGGGGGGAGGGTTGTAATTGTCTTGTGATGTCTCCTTTTACTCAACCCCCTCCATCAATAAGGCATTGTATGTTTTGTGCCAGAGTGTGTGACATTCCAAGTAGCCTTTTTTTTTGCAAAAGAACGCAAATTTCTATTTTCTGCTTCATCTGGCTGTGTTGGGCTTATTGATGTGTGAGGCTTTTATGCTGGAAACTTAGGTAATCTCTTCTTACCTGTGATGCTATAGAATGTGTTATGTTTGAGCCACCAAAGAAGAAGGGCTGGAAGCAGCAGATTATTGTTTAACACAATCTACAGTGGAATACCGATGTGTTGCCTTTGACTGCTTCCAGTATACTGGAAATGTGTGGGTTTGATCTGTCTGGGAGACATATCTGGCTAATTTTTTTTAGTTAGAAAAGGCAGACATAGTTTTTGGCAGGAAGTTTTTGTAGGTCTGAGAGGGACAAAACAGGAATGAATGTGTTTTTAGACAATCAGAGCTCCTTAATTTTTCTTGTCTGCAGCAATAGTTTGGGGAACTTGGGTCACTGACATCCTTGATGAATGCCAAGTTAGATCTCCTTTCCTTTATGTGTTTAATGTATTCTGTTGATTCACTTTTCATCTTAATACAGAATGGGGAAACTTCTAGAAATCCAAACATTTTTGAGGGTAAAAGAATGCATTCAGTGTCTAGCACTAACATGTACTTTCCCTTTTTTGACAGCACACATGACAATTATGTCAGCTTGTACCACGCCTTCTTCCTTCCTATCGAGGGCAGCACATTTTTATTGCATTTACCTTTGTTTAAATTTTTAAAGGACTGAATCCAGCTTTCAAAATAGGCATTTTGCGTGTATTATTTTCATGCACTCAGTAAATGTTCTTATTTTGTTTTTATGATTGCTCTTTGATAAGCAGAGCGTTGCCTGCAAGGCAGATATTTTATGGGTAACATTTTGACAGTAAACATAATTAAAGCTGAAAAGTCCAAAAAGCTCTTGTGCTTAACACAATCAAGAAAGCAACAAAATACAGAAAGGGTGAACTAATAACTTAAAATTGCCATAGAACTCTTATATTGAAAGAAATTTCCATAAACCAAAGGGCTTTTGAAATTTGTAATCTGGGGTAAGATGCCACATGAAAATCAAAGGACAGGGAAAATTGGAGTGAGGATAGTGTTTTCTGTGTGAAATGTGTGTTTCTTGGTACACTGACATGTAACATAGGAAACATAAAATAGGCTGAAGTGCTCTAAAAGGGTTTTCGGAGGGAGATGAAAACTGATGCATATGAAAGCAAAAGGATTATTTTAACTGGAAAGCTGAATACAGACTGCATCCTCAAAAGAGATGGATGGCAGTGTATTTTCTTTAAATAACTGTACATCTAAAAAAACCCTTTATGAGTAATGGCAACAAGATTTTGTGATGCTGCTATGAAGATTAAATGCATGTGGGAGTTGAAGTAATTTTGTGTTACCAGGCAGGCAGAGCCTCCTGGTGCATGACTTTGGAAATATGAAATTCCTGTTCTCATTGTGGTAGGGAAATAATGTACATGACCTGTGTGCTTAGTAATAGACCCTCACAGAAATTTTGTTTTTGAACTAATTTGCTACATTTGAGGAGAGGAGAAAGAAAGAGTGACTTAAGAAGTGAAGAACAACTTGGCATGAGTATGACAGAATAACCTTTGTGCAACTTTCTGCTTAATTTCTTCGTAACTACTGAATTTTATTTGATAGAAAGTACCTCACAATAGTAGATCAGGGAGTCCTGTGTTTCCATATGGAATCCTGCAGGATGATATGCAAAATCCTGCTAAGGACAATATACTTCAGTAGCTGCTTCTGAGACTGTAGGAGTAAGGATTGTGGATCTTAGTGAAATGAAGCAGAAATTTCTTTAACCATTACAAATCTGCTCCTGACCCTTTCCTACATAAATGCACACAGTATTTCATTGTCTTCATGCAGAAGTGTTTGTTTCTATTTCGTAACTTCCAAGTTTTGTAAAGATAAACTCAGTGTTAACCACCTGAATGATATGCAGAAATAGTGAACTCTGGCTTGCAGGCAGTTCAGGAAGCTTCCCCTTGTTCTTGCACCGGAAAGCACTGCACAGTTTTGTTTAAATTCTGTACTCTTGCCACACAGTGCTGTAGGTACACCAACCAATTTAATTGCCATCACATGTTGGCTGGTCTTTTACATTTGTTTACTACCTTTTATATGAGAGGTCAGAGTTTGATGGTTTTCATGTGAGAGGAATTGTCCTGCTTTGAATTAATCTATATAGGAAATTATGGCTTTTTTATTTTTATTCTTTTTTGTAATCTCGTTTGCCCACAAGACTCCTCTTTCTTTTCTATTCTCAGCTCTTCTAGTTTCAAACTGGAGGGTTTTTTTCTTGTGAGGAGTTAGAAACATGGGTTGTTTCTAGGCAACGCACATTTTAGTCCCAAGGCTTTGGCACCAGAGCACTTTGGAAGTTGTATCACGGTTAGACTTCTAACTTTTTTTTTAATTGGTCAGAGTTGGAGTGAGCTTTTATAATTAATCAAATTATTTTGTATCTAGAGAACATAGAATAAATTCAGAGAACCAGATCAGAGAAACTTGTTTCACTTCCTCTCATCCGGTTTCCAAAATGCTTGAGTATGCACTGAAGTGGGCCATCCCCTTAAAATAGTCCTGACCTTAAAATAGTGCTCATGATGCATGCAGTTGCGAAGGCATTGGGACTGCATGTCTGTCCATGCAGCTCTCGGAGTATTGTGGTTGGAGATGAAGAGCTGGTGCTGGTCCTACTCCATCAGCCCCTCTCCCTTCCCCTGCAACACTGCAGCCTGTGCTATGGCAAGCATTACCACTTTTATATTTGAAAATTAATACTGCATAATAGTAAAGTTTTTTAATCCGGTCTTTTTTTGGAGCTCTTCTTCATGAAGGGTGTTTTCAACAGGATTCATATATTGTAAGCACATGTCTGTTAAGTACAAAGTGCTGAGTAATTGATATCTTAAATGATTATTTTAATATTTTTCTCTATTTCTTATCCTGAAATGTCAAGCCATTGTGTGGATAATTAAGTCATATTGAATTGAGAACTCATGGCAGATATACATAATTTTTTGTGAGGTAATTTTGGATCATGGTATCTTTTGTGTAGAGGGACTGGAAGGTCTGAGTTCTCTGCTTATATGATACAGAGACCAACATAAATGTGGAGGAACTTCACACACATGTACCAGTCTGCTGGAATCTTGCATAATGTGCTGGAAAAGTGAAATAAACATGTCTTTATAATATCATCTATGTTTATTTCCATATTTCTTTGAATTGAAGTAGCATTTTTTATAGAGCAACCTTGGTTGCAGGAACTCCTGAAAAATGTTCCTAATCCAATAGTACACAATATGGCATGATAAACATCATGGAGGATATCAGAATTTTAGAAGCACTGGCACAAGAAAAATGTTTCATACATCATCTCTGGCATTCAATTTCAGATGACATAGACAAAAAAATCTTGTTTCTAGTGCTGAAATCCTTTGTTGGAGTAGGTGATTATTTAGTAAGAGATTAAATTATTTACTATAGTAAGAAAATTTAAATACAAACATTTTCTTACCTCATATAGGAACTAGCATTATAAATGTCAATGTCTTTCTCCTTGGGCCGCTAAGCAATCATTTTTCTTTTTCCTAGTGAGTAGAATTGTAAACAAAAATACGACTTTATTCACTCAAAGCCATGTCTGACTTTTTATTAACTTGGTAAGGCTTTTTAAATAAGCTGATATGTCAAATAATACCACTTGTCAAGCTGTATATTGTTAACATGTGAAATGACTTTAAACAGAAGTTTTGGATGTATTCTGGGCCTTGGAAGAGATGAGGTCTGAACACTGAGGTCTTAAATTTTAATCATAGCTTTGATGCTTTACCCTCTAAAAGCTGGAATCTGTTTTTTGTCTTCAAATCCTTATGTGTGGAGGAGTTAACTCTATTTTTTCTTATTAAGTCATTACAGCTTATTAAGTGCTTCGTTTGCATCAAAATACATTGATGTATAATACAAAATTTATATCAAAATATATTGTCTGGCATTTTCTACACAGTGTTGACAATTTTGGGCTCGGTCTTCTGCTTCAGACAAAGCAGATAAAACGCATGGTGTCATCGTATGTTGGAGAGAACGCTGAATTTGAACGCCAGTATTTATCTGGTGAGCTTGAAGTTGAGCTTACACCACAGGTAAGAGAGGGGTGATCTCTTTTCATCTAAAATATTGAGTAGAATAATGCTGACATGTTCTTACAAAATTGTTTTGCAATCCAAATGTTTTGCTTGTGTGCAGAAGGCACTTGCCATCTGTGGTGGCCTGATCATGACTGGACTCCAGGTGCTCACTAAAGCCTCACTCTAAACTCCTCTCAGCTGGACAGGGGAGAGAAAATATAACAAAAGACTCATGGGTTGATATAAATAAAGGGAGAGATCACTCACCAGTTATGATCATGGGCACCATAGACTTAGCTTGGGGAACTTAATTTAGTTTATACCAATCAAATCAGAGTAGGCTGAGAGAAGTAAAACCAAATCTTAACACTCTATTCCCCTACTCACACTTCACCCCAACCCTCCTTTCTTCCCGGCTGTAACTTAATTCACAATTTACCCACTCCCTGCTAGTAGCACAAGGGGAGGAGGGAATAGGGGGTTGTGGTCAGTTCATCACATGTTGTGCAGCTTCTTCCTGTTCCAGAGGACCCCTCATGCTCTTCTGCCATGCAGTGTGGGTCCCTTACACACGGTGCAGTCCTTCAGGAACAGGCTGTTCCTACATGGATCCCTTGCAGGGTCACAAGTCCTGCCAGCGAACCTCCTCCAGTGTGGGCTCTTCTTCCATGGGGCCACAGGTCCTGCCAGGAGCCTTCTCCAACACAGGTTTCCCATGGGGTCATAGCCTTCTTTCTGGCATTTACCTGCTTGGGCATGGGGTCCTCCAAGGGCTGCAGATGGATTTATTATGGTCCCATGTGGCCCACCATGGGCTGCAGGGTCACAGCTACCTTACTGTCGTCTTGCCATGGCCTGCAGAGGAATCTCTGCTCTGGCACCTAAAGTACCTCCTAACCTTCCTCCTTCACCTCACCTTGGTGCCTGCAGAGCTGTTCCTCTCACATATTCTCACTCCTCTCTGCTCTGGATGGATATATATCTGTGCAAGAGGTTCTTCTTCAATGCTCTGTCCCAGAGGCACTACCACTGTTGCTGATGGGCTCAGCCTTGGAACCAGCTGGCACTAGTTCTGTGAACACTGGGGGAAGGTTCTGGCATATTCTCACAGAAATCAGCCCTCTAGCTACCAAAACGTTGCAAAACCAATACACCATATTAGGGTCATGCATCTGTCAAGAACTGACTGTCTGTTACATGTGTGAATTCCTTCAATGGCATTAATTAATTAATAATAGATTGTATTGATCTGACATATATATATATATATACACACACATACGTAGATTTTTTTTAAGGTTGTAGAAAAAGTCGTAAAATGTGCTCAGTGCTGTAGCACCATATAAAAGGAGGGAAGTCAAGGGGCTACTCTGTTCCTATCTTGGTGACAGGTTTTGGGAATGTTGCCTGTGCAATGCCTGCCATCTAGTGGGCAGGAATCAAAGTCAGAGATTTCCTTCATTTTGAGCCAAAACCCTTTTTGGCTTGTTCATTAACTCTTAACAAAATTAATCTGTGCATACTGTTAGGAGTAAATTTAAAAATTGACTTTGTAGCACCATATTTTTAATTATTTTGCACTGCCAAGTTACCCAAATATCATGAATGCAATCAGATCCTAAAATCATGGGTATCAGTTACGTTCTATTGAGATCAACTTCTGTGAAGTTGGTGGTCTAACTTTAAAGCCTACAGCATGTTAGTGTGTGGCATTTTCAGAGGTGGGCTTTAAACAGCTATTTATATAAGTTTCTGGGAAAAACAGCTGTGCTAAATTTTTATTAAGAATAGAATCTGGAGCTCCCTCTCTTTTGAATCTCAGAATCACAATGGGTCAGGTTGGAAGGACTCACAGTAGGTAATTTGGTCCAACCTCTTTGCTCAAGCAGGGTCATCCCAGAGCACAAAGCACAGAATTGTATCCAGATGGTGCTTGGTTATCTTAAGTGAGGGAGACTCCACGACCTCTCTGGGCAACCTGTTCCAGTATGTGGTCAGTGTCACAGTAAAAAAGTTCTTCCTCCTGTTCAGGTGGAACTTCCCATGCATCTGTTTCTGCCTGTTGACTCTTGTCCTGTTGCTCAGGACCCCTGGACAGAGCCTGGCTGCCTCCTCTTGGCACCTCTTCTTCAGATGCTTATAGGCATTGTTGAGGTCCCCTCCCAGTCACTTCTTCTCAAGGCTGAACATGTCCACTTCCTCAGCCTTTCCTCATAAGAGAGATGCTACAGTCCCTTAAGTATCTTTGTTACCCTTCACTCCAAGACCCACTCCAGGAGTTCCATGTCTCTCTTGTCCTGAGGAGTCCAGAACTGGACACAGCACTCCAGACATGGCCTCACCAGGGCTCAGTAGAGAGGCAGGTCAGCTCCCATGACCTGTTGAAGATGCTCTTCCTGATGCACCGCAGGACACACTGCTGCCTCATGGTCAGCTTGTTGCCCACCAGGACCCCCAGGTTTTTCTCCACCAAGCTGCTTCCCAGCAGGTCGGGCCCTGGCCTGTACAGGTGCATGGGATCATTCCTCCTCAGGTGCAGGACCCTGGATTTTCCCTTGCTGAATTTCCGATTGTTCTTCCCTGCCCATCTCTCCAGCCTGTCAAGGTCCCTCTGAAGGGCTGCACAGCTCTCTGGGGTATCGGCCGCTCCTCCCAGCTTTGTGTCATCAGTGAAAGTGCAGAGGGGGCATCTGCTCGGACCCCCCCAAGCCATTGATGAATAAATTAAACAATTCTGGCCCTGGGGGACACCACTAATGACAGGCCCCCAGCTAGAACCTGTGCCACTCATTGTAATGCTCTGGGATCAACTGTCCAGCCAGTTCTCAGTCCCGCTCACTGCCCTCCCATACAGTCCACTCTTCCTGAGCTTGCCTATGAGGATGCTGTGAGAGAACGTTTCTTAGAATTGAACGTGAGTGGAAAAGTTCATTTTATACCCAGTCAGCAGACCTGAAAATAGCCAGACACTTGTCATGTCTGATGTTTCAAATGTCACAAATCTCACAATGCATTTTTTCCTATGTAATGTTCAATACTTTCACTGTGAGCTCCTTAGACATGTAGTTGGCTCTGTGGGCTACAGATAAGCTATGCAGATCCAGCATGGAAATAATGGGTCTACAGGATATAATAGGAAACAGTAAGGTGAATTAATTACTTGCTAGGAGATGTGGGGATTTGAAATATTTGTGTCAAGAAAAAGAGTCTTTCCTAAAATAGTTTGGTTTAACCTTAGGCAAAATGGAAGACTTTTGTGTTACTGTTGCACAATAAGGAAGAGGTCACAGTGAGATCCTGAAATGCTAAGGCTTCTTAGAGCACAGGATTCTGTATTGTTGCATGGTTTGCATCTGCCTCTTGCTACCATTTTGAAAACAACCCAAAAGCCATTGTGCTTCTTGCAGAATAACTGGGGAAAATAAAAGCTGTATTGTAGAGGCTGCTAAACTGGATAATTGACCATGATGTTCTTGTCTTGCTTTAAATCCAGGAGAATATTAAAAAAAAAAAAAATCCAGGAAATGACACTAATCTAATGAAAAGCAAGCACACATCTTTGGCTGTAAGTCCAGAATTAGGTGAATGAGGAATTTTTGCTGTTAGTATTCTGTACTATAGCTGGACATAGAGAAGAGTGCAGACAGGGTGGTCAAAGAGACTGTAAAACTGATCTGTTAGCTTTTTGGTATTCTTGGCACAGGCAGCCCAGATCACTGAACTCCCTCTTCCTTTCTCAATCTGCCATACTTGGCTGTTTCAGCTAGGAGTGGGTTCTGAAGTTTTTCTTAGAATGTTGAAGAATGAACATCAATGTTTAAGACTGTTAGAGAAGAAAACCCTTCTAGGGTACGTTGCCAGGTGGGAAAGAGGAAAAGAACTCTGTACTATTCTCAAGAATAATGGGATGGAAAACGAAGTGAAAGAGAGGAGATACAGCCAAGTGCTGGCCCCTGGTATTTGGCATGTAGTTGTATGACAGTGTTATCTTGAGCAGTTAATGATTGTATGTCAAGCATTTCTTGCCATATCCAGTACTAGTCTCACACAGGAAGCTAAAATGCGAGGAAGGAATAGATGTTCACACGTGTCTACTGTGTCCAGAAGGAAAAGCTACAAATGACAGGATATAAAGTAAAGTTAATGCAAGTCATTCATCAAAGTTTGATTTTTTGTTCCCAAATGATTATTTCCTAAATGTATTTTCCCTTAGGGTACACTTGCTGAACGTATTAGAGCAGGAGGAGCAGGAATCCCAGCATTTTACACCAGTACTGGCTATGGGACGCTGGTGCAGGAAGGGGGTGCACCCATCAAGTACAACACAGATGGCACCATTGCCATTGCCAGCCAGCCAAGAGAGGTAAGAGGTCTGATTGCCATTAGGAAGCCTTCAGCATTGAAAAACTAATTTCTAACATATTTATAAGATAAGCAGGAGTTTAAGAAGGAGTTAAGTTTAACCTTATTGTATTCAGTTAACTGGATGTCTGTGGTACCAGACACGTTAGCTTTGCTTCCACTTGCTTACTGCTGTGCTCTGTAACGTGTTAGAAGTTTTTAGAAGTTCTGGAGTGATTTGGCATCAAGACCTGGTCCAAGTGAAAGCCTACCTTGCTAAGTTACTCTTCTCTCGTCCGTTCTCTGACCAGGTTTGCTGTGTATTCAAACAAAATTTTGTTCCATGTGACTGTAGTGCATAGAGCTGTTTAAGAACAATCTCCTGTTAGTGAGGCAGGTGCTCTTTAAATACTGCCCCATGCAGAAAGCAGCCCTGCAGCTGGACATGGAGCTTCAGTCTTAGAAGAAATGGGGGATTCTCATGTTAAACTGGGAAGAGCTCACTTGACACAAATTTCAGGAAATGCATTTCCCAACATTTGAAATGCAAATTAGTCTCAGTTTTTAAAACCATGAAGAAATAGACTGTGGCTTTCAAGGGAGAAACAAGGGTTTCATTTTGGAATTTGATGTAGAATTTGGAGAAGGGAAGAGATATCTCAGTGCCACAATTTTTCTTGAAGAAATGGGTGGGGCTAATATTGTGTGGTCCAATTAGGCTGCATACAACATTAAATTTCACCTCAAGAACATTTCTGGGGTAAAGGTAATTCCACCCTAACCCAAGGGTTATTTTATTTTCATGTATAAAATAGATACTGTCTTTTATATTCCCTCAATTTTTTTACTGCACGTATCATTATGATGTTTTACCATTTGGAGGAATGTTTTGTTCATTAAATAGCTTATCATTTTAATAACAATTTTTTTCATTTGTTTTTCTTTTGACATTTGTGGGAAAATCTCCCTTACTCTCCTCAGTCTAATAACTATGGGGTGCGAATAACATGACCAGCATGATTTGATCAATTTGATTCTCCACATCCATTTTGTGTGGAAGTGACATTTTATAAAGGCTCAGATCTCATTTTATGGTACTGGCAAACTGATGTCTGATACACTTTTCTCATACTTCTTTCCCCTTTCAGCAATTTTAACAAGCTCCAAGTAATATTTTGTGTATACTCTTACCTTCTACACTGTTAAGAGAGGTATTCTTTCATCTCTCTCTATAGGATTAAAAGACCAGCTCTGTCCCTGTTCTATACTTTGGCTTTAGGCACAGTATCATTCATTGCAATTATTGCTCATAAATGCAGGGAAAACCAAATGAAACTCAGCCAGTTAGATGACATGATCTGAGTAGTCTATCTCAAATTCATTTTGGATTTGGGATTTCTGATGGTGAGCAGTGCTTATGAACTTTTTCAGTAATTCTGCTTTAGCACTTCAGTTTTGGTTAGCTGGTAGATGTGCAGGACAAAACATGTCTAATTCCAGTAGATGGAGCAGGAGGAATATGTATTCTCATGATTTCTCTAGAGATACTATGGTAAAACTGGGGTTTATAGCCTTTCCATGCCCCTGTGTTATGATCCAGTTTTTCAGTTAAAACTTAACAGAGTACAAAAAGAAGTTGAAATATGATAGTCTGCAAAATTAACCCGTAAAACAAATATTATGTGTGAAGTCTGTTGGAAGAAACCTAAATCTCAATTTTGTACTTTTCTCTGTAGGTGAGGGAGTTCGATGGCCGTCACTTTATTCTGGAGAAATCGATTACAGGAGATTTTGCTCTTGTGAAGGCATGGAAGGCTGATCGTGCCGGAAACATAATTTTCAGGTATGACTTGTTTACTGGTGATAAAAGATTATTTTACCATTTAGATAGTGAATGAGAAGGAGAATCCTGTCTGCTGTGCTACAGCAAAATAATGTTTTACTGATTCCACATTCTTTCATATTGCCTTTCCCTACTGTCAAACTACACTGCTATAAAACACCAAAATATAATTGCTCTTTCTGATGACTTTTGAGACTTCAAACACAGCTATGAAATAAGGCATTCATAGTTAAAAATGAGTCACAGCAGACCGAAGCTGTTATGATGACTGTTGAGAAATTTAGTGACATTTTCTTTCAATTTTCATGTTAGTTTGGTTCCTTTTTATTGAGCAATTAAAGGCTAACCCAAGAAGTACCAGTTCATGTACTGACATGTATGTCAGTCTTCTGGCTAGTTAGTGATGGGAAAACTGATTCTGTCTAAAGAAAACTGTGTTTAAAGTTGATTTCTTCTCAGTGGTGTAGGAGAAGGCATCATATGAATATAAACATCTTTGCAATGAGAAGTTTGATGTTGCATTGCTGAGAAAATCTTTTATATGATTGGCTCTGTTTGTGTTCTGGTTTGTCCTGATCTAAAGCAGGAGAGAGGTTTGCTTATGTTTAATGCCTGGTTTTTATTTGTTTGTCTTATGGCTATCAGATGAAAAGGTAAGTGTAGTAGTTATCACTTACAGCTTCTTACTCAGCACGTGCTGATTGAGAGTCTGTCTTTGTATTAGAACAAATAAGGAGTTGGAAAAATAGCTGAAAAAACATGTATATAAAATAATACATTTTACCCCATGAAGTATTGCTAAGTAATGCTTTTCTTTATGTATATATATGTGTATGTGTGTGTGTATTTATATATCCACATAATTAATACTAAATTAAAATACTTGAAAATTAATAAATAAGTTTTTGTTTTGCCAACTCTTGACATCCTGACTTGCCCACTGGCAAGACAATATGGTTTCTGATTGAAAGCTGAACTCTTCTGTGTGTGTGCAGATGAATTTGATGGCTGCTAAACTGCTCTCCTTAGGCTCTGGTATAGTGAATACAGGAAACACTCTTCCCCCTTTGCCTTGTCTTTGTTTGATCCTGTGCCACTACTCTCTGTGCTTTTATCCTGCATCTTTCTACTGATGCATAGTAGATACCTCTCAAAAGTTCTTTTATTCTCCACAGAAACAGACTGGTTGTGTTCTCCTTTTACCCTCTTCCTTTATGTCCCGTTGCTCTCTATGACTTTCCTTCTTCCTGTTCTTTTCAGGAGTCTTCATTATGTTTCCCACATGCACACAATACAGCTGATAACAGATACTACTTCCATCTATAGTGAAGACCTAAAAATCTTCACTCCTCCCTTCAACTGTAACTAATTGAAGATGGAAACTAATCATCATCTGGTGTCCTAGTCCATATAGAATATTGCTAGCTCAGAGGAATCTGCTTATGATAAGCAGTGAGGTATTCTGTTTCTGGATGAGACATGATTATATGATAACATAGAACAGAGAAAAGGATCATCTTAAAACTTGCCATCTGCTAACACTTTCACAGCAGTGTGGTACTATCCATAGTGTGTTTCCTCTGACTCTGTGAAGCCTGTAGCAATGGTGTAAGTGTCTGCCAAATTGTTAATCACCTTCAAGCTAAGAGCTTTGATAAATTTAGAGGATGTACTTTAATACACTTACTTGGACCACAGGCTGGCATTAATTTTTTCCTATGCTCATACATCAAACTATTCTGTTTTCTTGAAATTCAGAATGGCATCAACTTCTGTAGAAATCTGTTTTTAAAACTGTTTGTTTTGTTTGTTTGTTTGTTTTTTAAAGTTATACTTCTTGAGCCCCAGATATTTGTTCCATATAGCATGTTGTGGTGGCTTTCATTTCAGGTATCTTCTTGCTTAGTGGACTATTCTGCACCACTTAGCAGTGGTTAGCTCTTGTCTAACAAAGGTCTTAACTTCCCTTGGGGCTTTGCTCATTAGGGGCAACGTCAGAGTGTGCCACTGGTTCTGTGGCTAGTCAGAGAATCCAGAAATGGCCGGGTTTGGAAGGGATCTTATATATAATCCAGTTCCAGCCTCCAGCTGTAGGCAGGAACACCCTTCACTGGGTCAGGTTGCTTAGAGCTCCATCAAGCCTGGCCTTGAACATTTCTGGGGATGGGGCATCCACAACTTCTCTGGGCGAACTGTTTCAGTTCCTCACCACCCTCAGTAAAGAATTTATCCCTGATAACAAATCTAAACCTCCCATCTTTCAATTTGAAGCCATTCTCCCTTGTTTTGTAACTATGTGCACTTGTTAAAAGTCCATCTATGTTGAATACTCTCTTCAGGTACCGAAAAGCTGTAATTTGGTCATCCTGAAGCCTCCTCTTTTCCAGGCTTAACAATTCAAATTCCTTCAGCCTTTCCTTGTAGGAGAGGTTATCCAGACCTCTGATCATCTTGATAGCCTCTGGACTGGCTCCAGCAGGTCCATGTCCTTCCTGTGCTGGGACCCCAGCTCTGGATGCAGTGCTGCAGGTGGGTCTCAGCAGAGCAGAGCAGAGGGGCAGAATCCCCTCCCTCCCCTACTGCCCAGAGGGCTCTGGATGCAGCCCAGGACACGTTTGGCTCTCTGGGCTGTGAGTGCCATGGCCAGGGCATGTCCAGCTTCTCACCCACAGCACCCCCAGGTCCTTCTGGGCAGGGCTACTCTGGGTCTGTTCATGCCCAGCCTGTGCTGACACCAGGGGTGTCCCAAGGTGCAGCACCAGCACTTGGCCTTGTCAAACCTTATTAGATTCCAATGAACCCACTTCTCAAGCTTGTCCAGGTCCCTTTGGATGGCATCCCATCCTTCAGGAGTGTCAACAGCACCACCCAGCTTGGGGTCATCTGCTAATTTGCTGTGGGTGCGCTCGATTTCTTCATCTGTGTCATTATTGAAGATACCAAATAACACTGATCCCAGTGCAGACCCCTGATGGACACCACTTGTCACTGGTGTCCACTGGGACACTGAGACATTGACCATTAACCTCTGGATATGACTGTTGAACCAATTTGTCATCTACCAAACGGTCTATGCAATCAAATCCATGCCTCTCCAGATGATGTGGTGGGGCTGTAAAGCCAAGTCAAAGGCTTTACAGAAGTGTGGAAAATTACATCAATGGCCATTTCCCATCCATTGATGCAGTCACTTCATCATAGAAGACCATTATATTGGTTAGACAGGACTTACCTAACCGGTGTGAAGTTTTGCTGGCTGTCCTGAATCACCTCCCTGTCCTCCCTGTGACTTAGCACAGCTTCTAGGAGTATGTGCCTTGATCTTCTCAGGCACAGAAGTAAGGCTGACAGGTCAGTAGTTCCTGGTGTCCTCTTTTACATAATTTTTCAAGATGGGAACCAACTTTCCGTTTTTCTATCACCTGGTACTTCATGTGACTACCATGACTTTTCAAATACCATGGAGAGTGGTTTGTCTGCCTCCTTTGGCTCCCCTCCCTTTTCATCTGGTACCATTCTGCTACTTCTAGCTCAATGTATTTTGACTTTACAAGCAAATATATGGCTTGTTGGTGATGAAAATAGACTATTAACGAAGAAGCAGAAATGCTGAAGGGTTAACCTGAGTTGGAGCCTCCTCTGTCAGAGTCATGTCAGGTAATCTCTTCATGCTTCAACTGGTTCTACAATATATAAATTCAGGTCATACCTGAGATGTCTCTGCACCTTCATTTCATTAGGTATGTAGTGGATATAGTTTGTTGTTTTAGTCTGCTGTGAATTAGTTTGCGCTTTGCCTCTGGGAGAAAAGATGTCATGCCTTTGGGCCAGCTTAGAAATCCAGTGAAACAATGGAACTTTGTAGATATTGCTGAGTCTAGCTGTCCAGAAAATTTTCTTAAAATAAAAAGGCAACTTTTTCTAGTTATTTTTTTTAATTTCCTACTGCTAACCCCTTAACATTATTCTGTGCTGGAAAATATGTGTAGTGCTTCTGGTTTTTTTCCTCCTGGATGATGTGCTCTTTAGAAATAAGGCCTTTGATCCCATAAAAATTCTGGATAGTGTGTTCTTTAGAAATGAAGCCTTTGATCCTGTAAAAGACTGCTGCTTCTGAAACAACTTTACTAACCCAAGGACAGTTTAAATGGCAGAAGCTTTTATATATTATGTCAGATTAGAGACCATTAGCTCTTCTTAATGTCAAATTAACACTGAAATGTTTTCTTGTAGTTCTTTCCCTATGTAAAAATAATCTTAATATCAGTTTCTTTTACTGGCAGAGTAGCCACTAAAATTTTTAGAAAGTCTTTAGCTCAGAAAAGTAGTTACATTGTGATGAAATTTTCAATTATTAGTTTTGTCATGTTCCTTTCCCCCATCTGTATCCATTTCTTAGCTGTTTTAATACAGCTTTTGTAACTCTATTTTTCTTCTCATTTGCTACTTTTCTTAGCTAAGAGTAGTTTTTCCTGGGTCACTACTAACTAGTAGTGTATTCATCTCTTGGAAAAGGGTATACATTCATGTTGTGGGTTTCTTTCTTTCATTTTTTATTATTACATCCTTTTGGGTCTGTACAGCCACCAAGAAGATCCATGGGCAGAAGATATTTATAGAAGCATAGAATATGTTGAGTTGGAAGGGACCCTCAAGGATCATCAAGTCAAACCCCTGGCCCTGCACAGCACCATCCCAAGAGTCATGTCATGTCCCTGAGAGCGTTGTCCAAACCCTTCTTGAGCTCTCTCAGGCTGCTGCTGTGACCACAGCCCAGGGGAGCTGTTCCAGTGCCCAAACACCCTCTGGGTGAAAAACTTCTTTCTAACAGCCAACCTTTTTCTAGCCCTCTCCTAACTCAGCTTCAGGCCATTCCCTCGGGTCCTGTCACTGGTCACACAGAGCAGGGATGAGTGCCTGCCCCTCCCCTTCCCTCACAAGAAAGCTGTGACTACAGTGAAGTCTCCCCTCAGTCTCCCCCGGGCTGAACAGACCAAGCGACTTCAGCCACTTCTGATTTGGCTTTCTCTTAAGGCCCTTTATCATCCTTGCGACCCTCCTTTGGATAATCTCTAGTAGTTTTATACCTTTTTCATGTTGCGGTACCCAGCACTCGAGCTGAGGCCGCCCCAGCGCAGAGCAGAGCGGGACAATCCCCTCCCTTACCCGGCTGTCGATGCTGTACCTGATGCCCCCAGCACACGCTTGGCCCTTTGTTAGAGGCTTCACAGCTTCTGATTATTGCCAATAAAACGGCATTTCCCCGAGACACTGTCTTTGGGTGTAGCTTTGGTGGTGTCGGTGTGCGCGCCGGAGTCCGGCCAGAGGAGCCCGTTGCCGTCGGGCCGTGGCGCGTCCCTGCCGTGCTGCCCCGCAGCCAGGCGGTGGCAGCAGCGCCCAGGCTCCGGGCGGCTGCGGCGCCGGCACGGTCCTGCCCCGGGGCAAGGAGCGAGGGGAGCGCGCCTTGCAGTCAGCCCTTGGACTCCCTTGTCCGAAGGGCTTTTTCCCAGCTTAAATGATTCTGTGAGTCTGTGAAATAAGGATGGTCGGGGAAAGAAGAATGCTTCTGTGTAAAAACGATGTGGGAAAGGAGGTTTTATCTTGTTTTGAAACCTGGTTTCATGGATTTGGATGAAAAATTTTAAAGAATTCTGCTTTTTAACAGAGAAAAATGCTGAGAAGGTACCGGTGAAAAACCAGTAAAACCTTCATAGTATTTCTTAATTATTAAATGTGCCACGCAGTTTTGTTTGGTTTCTGAAAAACACATTGAGTGGCTGACACAGGTCACTTGTTTCCTCTATGCCCAGGAGGATCTTGGTGCAGCTCCCAACACAGGTATACAGGTCAAACGTTGCTTTTGTTTTCTAGAGGTTCTTCTTCCTTGGTACAGAAATGCTTTGTGAGAAGGCTTAGGGTGAATGCCAAAGTCTTACAATAAGTGCCAAAACTGACACAAGTTGGTTGTTTTTTTTTGTGTGGGGTGGTTTTGTTTTGTTTTGTTTTTTTAATTAAGATAATTGGATTACATTTACTACTGGGTAAAGTGCTATCTCAAGTCCTAGTCTGAGTTAGGAAAGCATACTTGAGCGATTGTTAGGCCTGGTGCTGGTCCTCTGTGGAGATTAATTTCATTCTTTGTGCTGTGAAATAATGGCATTGTACAAAGTCCAGCTTGCTGCTGATTTTGGATCCAATAAATGAAGATATCAGTAACATAACCAATTTCAATTAAACAGTGTGCTGATTGAAAGTCAAAAGAGCTGTAATAAATACTTTCTAATGTAGCAAAATATGATTTCATTTCAGATGCATCTTATGCAATTCCATAATACTTTTTTTTCTCACTTGTATTTTTTTTTATTATTATTTCCTCAGCTATTTGGCAAAATTTTTTGTGATGCTTAAAATACAGACATTCCTCTAGTAGTTTATCTCTGAAGAGTCTTATATTGTACTATTATAGCCTTTAATATTTATTAATTTTCTTTTTTTTCTTTTCAGGAAAACTGCAAGAAACTTCAACCAACCTATGTGCAAAGCTGCAAAGACAACAGTAGTAGAGGTAGGGAATTGAAACATAGTAAGCCCTATATGGGTGTAGTCAACATACCCCTTTATCTTACATGGTATTCTGGAGGCAGGCTGGGGGAATTTCATTCAGATCATTGCAGGATTTCAAATCAGGGACAGCGTTCTAGCCTCTCTCCTTGGATTGCCTGCTCCTGACATTATGCTCTGCTTTGGTGATTAATTCCTTTGTTGCTGTACATCTGCTGCTGACCACGACTTTGTGTTCACTGTGATCAGCCTTTGAAAGGGAAACAAAGCAAGAGCCTTCAAATTTGTTAAAGTAATATGTGGATGGAAAAGGAAAAGAGGCTTAGGCTGTGCTTGAGAAGATTCACATAAGACTTTATGCAAAGCTTCTTGAAAATAGAATCAAGTATGTAACAACGTAGATTAGGCAAACGATAGAGCTATCACAGTTGTGGTCTCTAAAATTTAATAAATTGCATAAATATCAGTCCACAGTGACGTACAGGCATTTGGCTGTGTCTTGAGAAAGAGGATGGACTACCTAATCTAGAAGTTTCTTCCAATCTTTTTGCCCTTCTTCTTTGTTGAAAATGATATTTGAAAACATGAAGCAGCCCACACTGGAAAAGTATTGGTGCCTGGAGAGTTGCTAGGGCATAGCAATAGGTAAAAGGTAGACTGCTCTATTAGTGTTTTCTTCACTCTCTAGTAAGTTTTTTTGTATGCCTAATAGAAGCTAAATACAGTTTGGCAGTAAGATCAAGACAAACCCTTCTAGATTATTTCTAGTAAATGGTTTATGGAAGAGGCTTTTATTTCTTCAGGGTTTTTTGTTTGTTTTGTTTGGGGGTTGGCTTGGGTTTTTGTTTGTTTGTTTGTATGTAAGATGTTATTTGGAAAATAGTTTTGTTATATAAGCGTCTCTGGATAATACATTTGAGAACTTCAGTTATTTCTTTGTGCCTTATAGAACTATCACAAAAAATACCATGGTATTTGCCACATGACTTATGTCATAAGTCATTAGTGACAGTGCAGCAAAACATTTTCATGTTTTGGTTTTTAGAAAGGTTTCAAGCCTTTCTCTATTTAAAAATTAAATAAAGACTCCTTCTTTCCAGACACTTGTCCTTCATACCTTGTTCAGTCTGGCATTTAAAGAATTTAAGTAGATCAAAGCCTTCCACCTACATTACATCTCATTCTCTCTTTCTGCTCTTCTATCCACTTATAATAGCATAGAATTTTCTTGTCAGTGAGCAAGTGATGTGACATCGTTCTTGTTGTAATTCCATTTAACAGTTGTTAGTAGATCTGCTGTGTACTGTGTCCACTTTGAGTCTTACTGCATTTTCAATACCATTTAAAAAACTGTCAATCTTTATGCAAGATGCATTATTAATATTACTTTACAATTCTGGTTTTTATGGACAACATTAGATGAAGATGCAAAACCACAGATTTAGGACAAATAGTTTGAACCATCCTTGACTTAACTTCTGAATATCATTCTTTCAAAGTGGAATTCAGAATGTTGTGTTTGGTTTAAGAGTTAAAACCCAGGGAATCAGAAGGAAATATTTCTATATGCTCTCTAGTACATCTTCAGTACTGAACACTATAAGCTGTTTTAGCTCATCAATAGGGAACTGAGGCAACTAAAAATTTTAGTTTTGCCTGGCTCCTTTGTTAATGTTGTCCAAGGCTGAAGATCGAAATCTTCAATCCCACTTACAGGGAGAAGAAAAAATTCTGTGTAGGGTAGTAATTCAAATTGGCAGCATGGTTTTCTAAATTCTGGTGTTTGTTCCCAGCTCTGTTTCTGTTTATCACTGACTGAACATTTAACTGAATTTAAGCAGACAGTTCTAGTCTCTAGGAGTAGAGACTTGAAGCCAGCCCTTCTCCTTTTCATCAAAATAGCTACAGGTCAGGCTTGTCTTCAAAGATAAAGTGATTAACTGGGGTTTTCAGGATTGTTTCCCACTTTTCTTAGATATACTTTAGTTTGTGATCATTGATACAAAGCTGGAATAGCATTTGGCATAATAAGATACTATTGAAATATAAACTACTGGAAATCCAATCTCAAGATATCTGTGAACTTGTTGAAAATAGGAAGTTACTATGTCCTGCTAAATTAATCTGAAGAGCTGTGAAATCTGATGTGCATACACAGTGGAAGACTTTTTTTTCTATACTTAATGCTGCTGTTCCCTAGTTTTAGTCTGTGTGGTGTTTTATACACTCTTTTATGAAGTCCAGACAGGCACTTAATAATTATAACAATTCAGAGGCAGACAAATTTTGTGGATGTGAAGGATAAGAGAAAAAAAAAAAGAGATAAGAGATCAAAACTGTGAAATTCTCAAATTCACAGACTGATAGCTGTTGTTTGCTTAAAAATTTTCCTCTATTGTGAGAAGAGAGATTGGCTGTGCATAGAGGCATAGGAAGAAGCAGGAAGTCAGACTGTACTATTACCTCTTATGTTTGGGACACACAGTGAAGAATTACTGATTTTTAAAATGTCAGATTAACCTTTCAGCCTTGTTTATTTTGAATAGGGAAATGGTCAGAAGTGGTCATTCATTACTCATTTTGGGATCAGTAATACATTAATTGTAAGCTTCTAATGAGGTGCAAGAAGTGCTTACTAATCTGCACAAATTTTGTTTATCTAAGTGAGAGGGAGTAGAATCTTCTATCAAGATAATAAGGATGGGTTATCTGAGGAACAGATAACTGCCTTTAAAAATCTAACTGTGCCAAGTCCAGTGGAATTCTACTTTAATTTGAAGATGACCCATTATTAAAGGTCAAAAAAAAAATTTCAACTGAATTGCATGATTCCTCTTATTTGGAAGTTAACCTTTACAGAGACAAATGCTAAATAATGTTTGCAGCATCCATTATTTTGGCTTTATCTATATGTAAAAGTGAAATGATGCAGGGAGTTCATCTGCTTCTCACTTTGGCTTGCAGAACTTGCAGAAGTTAAGCATGCAGTCAGACCTGTAGCTTTGTTTGAACCTGAGCTCTCACACACACACTCAGCCTGAAGCTTTCAGGTTCTTTTCAGATCTATGAATACTTTCCTGCTCCTGTAGCAAAGATGGGAGAATTGAGAAATTGGCTGATACAAAAGGAACTAAATGGTCAGAAGTTACATACAAGTTACCAGTCCTTGTAAAGATTGAGAGGAAGAGCATGGCATGTCAAGAAAATTGAGAGGTTGTGTGGTATTATAGATGTGGTAACACAACAATGTTGAATGAAGGTTAAGCTGAATTGAGGAGGTGTTACTGCTGTCATGACCTTCAACAGAGACATTGAATTTTGTGATGGGAAATGAACTGTGAGGCAGTTTGGAGTTGCGGGGAGGCCTCTTGGATGTGTGCCAAGACTCCTAGGGAAAGGGCTGTGACAGCAAGGTGCTTCTTAACATGTGCATTTCCCTGTAGAGACACCTCTGAGCAGAGCCCCACTGGGGCTTTTGGTCATGACTACTCTTTTTTCTAGGGAATAGGGTCTACCCAAAGCCACAGGAGAAAACATGGTGTGACCTTGCCATATGTGGTGTCATGACAGCATGGGAAAAGGGCGATACAGGCTTGGGCTCTTGCTTTCTTCCGCAGAAGAGTACATAAATGTCTGTAACTGTCCAAAATGACCCTGAGCTCTTATCTGTTTTCTTGTTATTTTCTGCTGTGAGACCTGATGAATATTTTTCCATGGTGAAGTGGTTTGAGATCTTAGCCACTGCCACAGTGAAAGTGTTTGGTTGTGGTAATGGTCAATATGTTTAGAAATATTTATTGACTGGCTGTTTGAATATCCAGTTTGAATAATTTTCTTGTTCAGATCACAGAAGATGACTAAATATATCTCCTTGGGTAAATAGCATTTACACCTCAAATAATATCAGGAGAGGGAAAAAAAGAGAGTATACTTTCTCATAAAAATGCATTAAATAAAAATCATTAAGCCCTGCATTTTATCTCTGGTTGCCTAGTAACAACACAGCCACATCAGTGAGCACCATTTTCTCAGGTACAATGAACTGCGTGGCACTAAGGGACAGAATCAGACTGAAATAAGCTATTTGTATCCTGTTATCTGTGCTAAATCATGGCATTTGGTTTTATTGAGGAAACTGGAAATTAACCTTTTTTTGTGTGTGTATGTCTATTCCTCCAAATGCTTTAACAATGGCAAAACTTTCCTCACATGCACAATTCTGTTCTGAGGAACTCTTCAAGATTTTTGCACAGTGACAGTTTACTATAAAAAGCCTGTAAGTACCACTTTAAAGTGAAACATTCAACTAATAGAATTCTTTTGTTACCTGTGTGCTCCAGCTATGGAACTCAAAAGTGAACCCTGGTAGAGGATGGGCTTGGGATGGGCACAGACTTTACATTAGTGTGTGTTTCTGTGAAACCACAGATCAGGATGAAGGACATAGAACTGAAGTCCTTCTGCGCAAATGCTGTAACCACTGAGCTTTTGTGTTGCTGTAGCTTTTGCTGGTATTATTAATTGCTCAATGATGAGTTTATGTGTGCTTAGGCAATGGTTGTGAAGGAGTGTCCCATGGATCTGCAGTGGGGGAAAGGTTTTTTTTGAGAATCCCATTTGTCACAGGATGGACACTGAATTTCTTAGTCCTGCCACGTTAACAGGTGCTTTTGGCACAAGTGACAGTAGAATTCTAGTTCCCATAATATGCTCCTATACATTATATAAATGTATGTGTATATATGTATATGTATATGTATATGTATATGTATGGATATATGTGTATGTGAGTATGTATATGTATATGCATATGTATGTATGTATGTATATATGTATATTATAAATATAGAAAACTTTGTGTCTTGAACATGTAGGTAGTTGTTAGCCAGGGCTTTTGACTGCATAAGTGTTTTTACATGCCTAGGCCTTGGCTAAATCCTGAGTCAGGGATGCCTGTAGATCTGAATTTAGATAACCCAAATATAATCTGTAGACATTACAATA